AAATGAGCAAATATTAATATCGGCAGGAAGATTGTGATATATACATATTTATAGAAGCAGATGTTTGGCAAATTTTACAATATAAACGTGGCCGAAACTTTTTCCATCACAAATTACTGATTACCTACTAGAACTATCATGAAAATTCGGCACAAGATAAAAAGGTAAATGGTTCTTAAAATTGAACTGGATGGTCGATTGTGAAGAACTAGGGAGGCTTGGTGGAATTCGAACTCGCGCTTGAGCAGGTAAGCCCTGAGTACACTCAACGCTCGGTCTTGAGTTTTTAACATATACGGATGAGCTACCTGTCTTGCCTGCCGTAGTGCATGGAACGCATCAATTCAAATAGAATACGCGGACTGCACAGTTAGGTCAAGCAAGCGGCCAGTCTGGAACTCACCAAATGGTTATGACGCGAGTTAATTTGTTCCAAATACTGCAGTGGGTTGGCTGATTAGCTTAGCCTGTATGTGAAAAACCCAAGGCTATTGATAAGGGTCTCGTAGTTCAAATGAATGGAGGCTTAGATACATAGAAAACCTAATCGTTTGTCATGGGTTAGACTGCCACTGAGGCCGGCGAGTTTTTACCAAATAGGTGCTTGGTTAAAAAGTTAACTGTTATCGAGGCATCAAGTGTAAAAATAATCCATGCAATAGAACGGACAGGAACTGCTTCTATTGTTTATCGGGACAACTAATAAAAACTTACTTCGCTTTGTCAATTAAAATGAACTCCGGCAGCTGATGTAACATAACAATGCCGCTTTCAAAAGCTGTGACGATCATTTTCAGTTTCCTGTGAAATTTGACGGTCGTTATTGTTTCATTAATCCTCTGGGATAAGGAATTGCGGTAAGTGAACCTGGAAGTAAATAAATATAAGCATCATTACCTTGATTTGAGTTTAAATAACGCTTTTTTCGTCTCTAGTGAAGGTGTGTTATGAAGATCGCGAGGCATTGTGTCACATTCCCACAATCGTACTTCACCGTCGACACTGACGGTTACACAATCCAGACTTTCATCCGCAACGAATGCAGCATAGACAGGCGCTTTGTGGCCCGACAGAGTGTAAATTATCAGTTTAGGGGTACGTTTAACAGCAAGGACGCGTGCGGTCATGTCATCACTGCCGGCAATTATAAATCTAACCAAATCGAATAACCAAATTGGAGTTACTTAGAATCCGATGACCAATCAATATTTTTGATTTTGTCCTGAAATCCGTAAAGGAATCTGTAAAGCTCCAATGAATTGACACTGCGAGAGGGTTCTGGAGCTAAGAAGACCATAATACAATGGTTTTTGGAAACGGCGAGATATCTGAAAATGTTATGAGTATTTGCTCACTCACTTTCCGTCCGGACTAAAGCAGGCGGCCGAGACAGGATGTCGGAAATTGTAGGTCGTAATAACATTCCCAGTAAGCATGGATACAAGTGATCCTCCGCCATCTAAAGCGAAGCTTCGTGACTAATGTCATCAACGTACTGCAATCGACGGTGAATAAGATGGGTAATATAGGGGATAATGCGATGTGCTCAATGTTGAAATGACTGTTGACAGCAATAGTTCGAGCTTCATCTCTGTTATGCGAGATGTTGTGTTCAGATATTACACGTACCTTAGTAGATGAAAGATGGTCACTTGATTCCCAACTGAACTTAGCAAGCATGAACCATTATTGGTGTAGGACAAGTTGCCACATTTATATGCTGTCCCAAATAAATTCGTAAACTAAAAAATAAGTTTTGGAGAATAGTAAGTTACCTTAAAGTTTAACTTCATCGGTTGAGCCTTTTGAAATAAAAAATGTGACAAGCCTAGATCGC